TATATCACGACCTAAATCGCGTTTTTTAGGTTTGTGTAGTGATCGTTGCTACAAGATTCGATATTATACAAATTTGTTTATATTTTTATCAATATTTTTTTTTTTTTTTTTTTTTTTAAATATTAAAGAAAAACAAAAGAGTAATGAACGTGAGAGAGGGAGAGATAAATACAAGTTGTTATAATGTACTATGGAGAGGTGAGTGTGAAAACAAGCTTACGATAATATTAAAATACTTTTTAGACCAGCTGGACTTGTTCGTATTTTTTTACAGCCTTGATAAACAAATCTATCCTTATAGGCATACATAAAATACATGTATACATACATACATATATATATATATATATATATATATATGTATGAGTATTTGTAAATATAATTTACATATTAGGAACACAATATCTCGGTCACCGTCATATTAAATTCAACGACATTTATTGCATATATGACCTTGATCATTGTCAAAGTACGTCTCCGATAGTAGCAGTACTTTCGTCGCTGTAAAGATAGCAGTTAAAAATAATTGCCTTATGTTTTTGATAAATTTATTCATTGAACCTCATTCCTATGATCGTGCATAGGATCACGGACATACTTTTCTCCATATTTTAATCCGTGATTTCCTTCGTTGCTGTAAGATTCGTATATGGGTACTTCCAGTAAAGAACTTCTAAATTTTGGTAAAAAATAAATCCAGGCTTTCGTTAACATGCCAACCTAAAAAGTAATATAAATATATAAACGTCAAAATAATAATTTTACTTATTATTTATACTAATATCAAAGTATATTATTATTCGCGTTCAATGGTAATAAAAAATATAAACTTTGTTAAAGATCCCCGTTTACGATATAAAATAATCGGCAGATTAAATGTTAATGTTTAATTGTTTTACATTTAAATTTGTATAACAAAAGTAAATTCTTATGAATTTAAAAATTCACCTCTTGGATATTTTTATTATGCTTGAGTTTAGATTCGGGTGCCATAAAAACATCCTCTTTCGTTCGCTCATAAAAATTTGGATGTTCTTCCAGCTCATCCAACTTTGTCAACATCTTCGAATCAACGTCATATATTTCGCCGATCACGTGCTACTTGTAAATAAAAGAGACGTGCCAAGAAATAACTATGTTACTTAATCGTGCAGAAAAAAAATTATTTTTATATTACTTTAATATATTTCGTATCTAATCGTAGACTAACAATAACAAGTGTTTATCAAATTTATCAGTTTAATCAAGAATTCTGGAATGAAAATTTTTACATCGATGATAAAAAGTTAACAATATTTTTAATTATAACATATTTCGAATAAAATATTTTAATATATGCAAATTTTTATACTCGTTTCATATTGAATTTTCATCTTATAGTAATAATAATAATAAAAATAATAAACACATGTTTATATCTAAATCTTGTTAATATTTTAAGACTTTTAAATATTTTGATATTAACATAATATAGCAATTTATATAATATTTAATAAAATCGTTCACTTACATGACCGACTCCTGGTTTTTTCAACAAAAATGGAATGTTATATTTAGTAGCAATAATTAATGGATAAGAAGAAGTAGTTTTAGCGATTCCAAGAAATTTCGCATATCCATTAGTTTTATCTTGTATAAGTTTATGATTTGGTTCTCCTCTTTTCAAGGTCCCATAAACGAATATACGATGCAAAGGATTCTTGAACAAATTTTCGTACATCTTTGAAGATATTTTCTTTCTCTCTCTTTCTCTCTTACACGTGTTTTATTTTTTCTTTTTTTTAACTCGATAAATATTTGTTACTTTATAAATATTTGATCATATTTATTTTACAACGTAATAAACGTTAATTAAATATTACGCGCACATAAAAACGTGATGTTTATCGTTACTTTTCACCTTGACCGTAAAATGATATTACTTGAATAGTAAAATCGCGCCAATAAAAAAATTCAATTAACGTTTCACAGATGTCACTACGTGCAGCGATCCAAAAAATCTAACGATCGTGGAAGGACGTGATTAAATTTATCATGTATTTTTATAACGAAATTGTCGTCTTTATTTTTCGATCAACGTTTATATTTCGACTCACTGTAAGAACTAGTAGTCAATGTATAACACGGTGTATTTTTGGTACATTCCACTGGCAACATATTACAGACTGTTAATTCGCATTTTTATTGGACACGAACAATAAGAACGTACGATAGCATACTATGATACTGTTCACATTAATACTTTATACTTGCAAACGCCAGATGTCGCTACTATCCTTACAAATGTAGCGACCTGCTGTCGATAAGCAGATTTCTACTTTATCCTATGCAACGACTGGCGCCGCCATTCTCACTGCTCGTTCTTTGGCAAACTACTTGAGCGCTAGCACTCTATCATAGCTAACAGCGTTTCTATGGGAACGTTAAGGTTTCCGTAGTTACAAAGACTTTCTTCTTTCGTTGTTAGAAAATAAATTAGTTAG